AGGTATATATATATATTATATAAATATATATATATATATATATATATATATATATATATACATATTACACATCCTATAGATTGGATTATACCATTGTTGCAAAGCCGGAGTTAATAACTTACCTTTAATAAGATAGTAAAAATTCGGATTCTTTCTCCGATAATAAGTGCTAAACACGTTACACTTTTTTCTATTTGTCTACAGAGTGGTTCTACAGTGCATTGAAAATTTCGGTTTTTATCGCGAAGAATGACAACTTAATAATGGCTTTAACTGAAAAATGCTTTGTATTGACTGACAATCAGGCGACAATTTGCGTTGTAGGATCACCCTCAGAATAATAGTTTGTATATTTTGAAAGATGTATAGATTATAGAAATTTCAGCTTTTTTCAGATTTATTTTAAGTCAAAATATAGGTATAATTTATAATCAGATACAGACATTCAATTTCTGTAAATGTATGTTTCTTGCGTCAAAGATATATGAATGTTTTTAATCTTTTTTTGTTACATATAGTATGAAACTGTGATTTTAATTTATACTATTATACAGCCTTAACCAAATAAGGCAAAGTACCTGACTTATTGTATGTATTTTATATATAATACCAGAGATTATTACCTAAATATAAGTAGAGTTGAGAAGTTGATATCAATTAAATGTACCGGAATGTCTTTGCTATAATGGTACGTACAATTTATTTTATCCAATCGCATTGAACATTTAGCTACAAATTGATGGATGACGTCAAATTTTTTAATTTTTTTCCTGTTTATAACTATGAGTAAGAATGACTATGAGTTATATCTTTCAAAAGACGTATCATTATAGAAATGGCAGCATTTTATATTCTAAGAAAAATGTATCTTTCGCATATAACGTAATTAGAGATTCCAATTTGTGCAAAGCTATAAGATGACAAAGATACTTTTACTTTTTTCTGTAATACTGTTACGAATATGTACTAAGTGCTGTGATAGTTTTATACTTCTAAGTAATATAGGTCATTTATATGAAGATACAGATTTAATTTCTGCAAATGTATGTTTCTTGAGCCAAAGATATTTCAATTCTTATTTTTCACTTTAAACTATTGTTTAAATAAATATTTAAAATATAGTGTGCCGCATTTTATATATTTAGTATCAGTGCTTCGTTTTCATTTAAATATAAGTAGAGAACGTTTGGTATCTCACACATTTGCACAAATTAATTCATATGTAATCGATGAAATGTACCGTTATATCTGACTGTCATAGCTGGGATGATTACTATTTATTATATCCGATCGTTGCGAATATTTAGCTACAAGTTGATTGGCAACACACAATTTCGCATTCATTTCTTCATTACGTCTTATTAGAGAAAACCGTTCATATTTTCTCAGAAACGTACTGTTATAAAACTTCGCTCATATAATTACTCTAAGTAATTACGATTGACATACAAGTTAACATATAGAGATTTTACATTGTACAATTGTACAAAATGTCGAGATATTTTTATTACTTTTTTAATAATGTAAATTACTCTGTAATTTCGTGCTGTATTTTTTTTCAAAAGTATAAATATTGTAAAACATTTATTTCTTGTAACATGTAAATAAATATTTTATATGAATGCTGCTTATGCCTGACGCAGTTATAAGCTAAAAAGTTCAGAAATTGTTAAAAATAAAACATTTTTCTACCTAAATAATAAAACATTTTTTTTTCATGTCTCGATAAATTTTTCTTACATTTTACAGATTTGACAAATCTTTTTTATTTTTGTTTTTTTGTTGCGGGGGGGCAAGCTCTTCCTTGGGGGTGAGGAATCTTCCAAAGACACCCTCTGGCGTGCAATGGAAACATCCCTGCCAGAGGGTAGTGTTGGATTTGTCCGGGGGAGTGGTCTGCGACACCACTGCTCCCCCGGACGCCTACCAATTAAACCCCACCCCCATTGCTGTGCCGTCAGCTGCCATATGGGGGGGAGGCTGGGAATCGCCCAACGGCATACATCCAGCCATCCCCCTGGCCAGCCGGTTGCCCGGCTACTCAATATTGGTGGGGAGAACCAAGTTCTCCTCCCACCCTCCAACGCATCTCAAATCAGGGGCATGGGCCCCCTCGAACCACCAACCATGGGCGGGACACAGCGAACACATCCACCTTAGTGGGTGTCGCTGGATGACCCGCCCATAGGGGATCCACTCTCCCTCTTTCTGCTCCTTGGCCCCGGTTTACCCGGTGGTAATGGCCTCGGAGCATCGAGGGCGCGAACTTTGGGGGGCTTTCGAAGGGGAGGACTAGTCTCATCCCCCTTTGCCCCCCTTGGTCGCTTCTCAGCCGGGGTACGGCTGGGCCTAGCGGACCCATCCGATCCCTCCGACCTCAGCACTCTCCTAGATCTGGTCCCACTGGGACCAGGCTCGGGTTCTGGAGAGTTCTTCTTTCTCCCCATTTCCCCCCTCCCAGAAGAGGCGGGGCCCGGACCAGGAGGCGCGGCTGCCCCGCCCCCTCCAGAAGGGGGATCTAATTTGCTCCTTTGGAAGAGCTACAGGCGCAAGGGAGATCGGAGGGCACTTCTCCGACCCCACCCTGTGATCCGCCTTCTTTTCCGCGGTGATGCACAGAGGGCAGCAAGCAGGACGCTCACACGTCGCCCCCCTGTGTCCCTTCTCCCCACATTAAAAACAGCAGAGGGCCCTATCCACTTTGGATGGACACCTCTGCTGTATATGCCCGCGCGCAAGGCAGCGGAAGCAGCGGGCCGGTCTGTTTGACATTAGCTCGGCCCGTACGGAGGACGACCATCCGATGGCAATCCTCCCCGCCTCCGCTACCTTGACCATAGCCCTAGCAGGGCCCTGAGCCCATATCGTGTGTTTGCCCCTGATAGGCAAGCGCAACGGTCCCACACGGATCTCCGATTCGGAGCATCCGCCCTTGGCAGCTATTGCCTGGCGGATCCCCTCCTCGGAGACCGTCTCCTCCACTCCACTTAAACGGAGGTCCATCCGTTTCGTGGGTCGCGAGACCCTAACCCCCTCGATGTTATTCTTTTGGAGGGCCATTTGGATAGCGAAGGTCAGGCAACAAGCCTGGGCCTCCGCATCCCGCCCTCCACCTGGTATCTCGACAAGAATACCTCCGTTCTGGGATCTTTTGGCGTCAACTTTGTTGACGCCCAGTTCCTCCAGTACTATCTCCCGCTTCGCGGCGAGCAATGCCTCGGCCAGGTTGCCCTGACCGACCAGCCTTACTGCCGCGGAGCGAGGGAGGCGCTTACGCGCCTTCTTCGCCAGGTCCTGTTTAGATGCATCTTCCTTGGGGGTCGCTCTCGACGGGACCCGGATCGCAATGGTGGGAGGACTAGGTCTTATCCCTTTTTTCCTACCCTTATTCTTGCCCCGGGCAACGATAGTCCAATTCTCGGACTCTACCGTTGCCGGAGCAGAGTTCCCTACTATGGGAGGGCACATGGAAATGGCGGGCGACCCCGGGGAGGGTTGGGAGATATTCCCGCCTACCCGAGGGACCGCCACTCCAGTCCTCTTTTTCCCCTTTTTCCTCCCCCCACTACCCCGAGCTACTCCCCCAACGGAGGGCTCCCGAGGGCGGGAAGAGGGAGAGGCCGGAGGAGGGGGAGGCATCACCACCCTCTCCTCCAGGCCCTTTAATCTATCGCCAAAGCCCGGCGAGCGTTCTGGCGATCTCCGTCAGGGTCGCCGCAAGGCCCCCTGACGAGGGGTGTGGGGCTCTCCCCTCACCCTCCACCACATTCCTGACAGCCTCCCCAACATCATCTATGCTTGGAGGGGCATTGTCATCCCCAGGGGAGGCGGGTCTCTCCCTCCCCAGCCAATAAATTGGCCCAATCCGCCTCTAATTTCTTAACCCGACGCTGGAGGCGGCCATTCTCCGACTTGAAAGACTCCACCGCCCCCTCCAGCGCCTGGATCTGATTCTTCATATAACCGGGGTCTCCGCCCTCAGAGGCCCGCCCGGCTAGTGTCCAGACGACCTCCCTGAGGACAAAGACCCCAAACTTGAGCTTTCCATTTAGCCCTCCCTTCAGGTTGCTCGCCCTCTGACGGACAGCCTTGATCGAGAGGAGCTCCTGGTCAATGCCTTGCAGCATCTCATCGGTAGAGCCCCTCTCGATCTTCCTAATGGCTTCTTCCACCCTCCTCTTCTGGAGACCAGTGAAGGAGGGCGGAACTATCTCTGCAATGGGTTTTCCTTTTGCGGAGCCCCAGCACCAGCCCGGCCAGCAGCGCCCTCAGATGCACTACCCACTGTAGAAGTGCCCGTGTGTCTCTCCACTTCGTCATCAGACTCAGAGTCCGATATGGTCCAGGGAGGGGCGGGCTTGAACGGACCAGTTCCGTCCTTCCGCGGCCTCCTCTGACCCTTTCGCAAGGATTTAAACCGCTCATCGGCACACGCCCTGAAAATAAGGCGTGGCGAGCCGGGATCAACCCTGGGGGAGGGGCTGCGGGCCCTCCCAGTAAGGGAGTCCACCAACTCTTCCCCCAACAATTCTTGGGGGGGAAGACCCTCCACAATAGGGGAGGAAAAGCTTCCTCCCACAACCACCATCTCCTCTTCTGCGGAGATGGAGACCCGGGAGCCGGGTGAGTCTCCCGCTCCGCCCCTAAGGGCCAAGGGGGTGTATAATTCCCTTTCCCCAGTGAGCGGGGACCCCCAATGCATTTCCCGGAACCTTGTCAATAGGTTTTCCACCCATGTTCTACCGGAGTTCCTCAGGTCCTCCCTCGCCTCCCTCTCTTCGTGTTTGTAAGGGCCATGGCCCCCACAGAGTTCGAAGACCGCCAGAAGAATTCGGCAGGCCTCCAGGTATAGAGGGTGTTTATCGTCATCCATATACTGTATTTGAGTATACGAATGAATCGATATCGCCTCGTGTATGACATCCAACCCAACTGCGTCAAATTGGATTGAGTCATCCCAATTTACTTTTCTGGAGGATGTCCATAGCAGTCGAGCTACGCTCTCCGCTCTTTGCATCCCCCCAGCCGATCTGTTTCTCCAAAAACACGGTCACGTAGCCGCAAGACCACATATGGTCTACCAGGGGGATACGGCCCACCTGTCGACCATGGATCTCAACGGCATCCGCGAGAAGGCAGTTTATCCCAATGATAATTGATTCTGCTGCAATGCTCGGGGACAACACTGCAGCAGGCCCATCGCCAGATAACGACGCGGTAGGGGCAGGGACTACATCCCCCTCCGCGCCGGCAACTGGGTTTCCGAGACCTTGTTGCGGTAAGTTTACTCTATTGTCTGACATATCAGTCCATCATTTGTAATTTGTTGACAGAGTTTTCTTCTCCGGGTTTTTTATCGTGGTTTTCTTTCCACTAGGACGGTTGTCTACCATGACTGACGAGCCCGTCCTGCCCGGGTCTTTTTATAGAAGTTTTACCACCCTCGCGGCCCGTTCTAGCTAAGCTAGTACCGGCCCCCATTAACTGGGGTTACGGTATGAATCGCCACGCCCCCCCACGTGCCATGGGGGGCCAACCGTTATGCCGGAACACCGGCGTGCTAACGAGGCTGGTCAGGCCCCGGCTTTTTTATCGAGGTAATGCTCCTCTATCCTGGTGGAGTGAATAACACTCCTAACGGATCCAGGCCTCCGGGCGATTGAAGTCAGAGCCGCCAACCCCTACCGGCTAATCGGAACGAGTCCCTTGAGGGGTAGCCGGACCCCCGTTCCCCCCTAAGGAGGAACTGTGCGCTCTTGGCACCCGTTCGACCCTTGCGGGCTTCCCGGGTGAGCCTCCTCACCACGACAAGGTGGCGCACAACAAGGAGGAGATTTGACAGATCTTTTTTTTTTTTTTTTTTTT